GAAAACTGCAGGCCCTTCAGAGGGCTGAAGTATCGTGTGAAGAGGACAGGAGACAGGAAAGGATCAGATCTTGAAAGTCTTCACTGCCAGACAAGTGTTTGGACTTTATCCTGAAGGTTACAGGGAGTTACTGATGGAGGTCTCCCAACCATCAACTTTTACATTTGTAAATGTGCATATGTGTCTGTGTGTGTGTGTGTGTGTGTGTGTGTAATATATGTATGATATATATACACACGCAAAGTTTTGAAAAGTTTCAAACCTACAAAGAAGTTGTAAGAAAAGCACAATGTACATTTGTGTGACTTGCATCTAGATTAATATTTTATTACCATCTCGCATTTGCTATATTACTTTCTTTATGTACATATTATTTTTCTGAACCGTTGGAGAGAAAGTTGTAGCCATCCTGATCCTTCACTCCTGAATACTTCAGCATGTATTTCGTAACAAGTATATTCTTTTATATAACTACAGTATAATTCTTAAAATCAGGAACTTTAACACAGATACAATACTATTAACTCACATACAGACCACAGTCAAAATTGTTCAGTTGTGTCTATAACGCTCTGTATAGCAATGCTTCTCCAACCAAGGATCACGTGTTGCATTTAATTGTGGGTCTCTTTAGCCTCCATCTGTCAGGAATGATTTCTGAACCTCTTTTTGTCCTTCACGGCATTTACTAGTTTTGAAATGTACAAACCAGTAGTTTTGTAAAATGTTCCATAATTTGGCTCTGTTTAACTCTGTCCTAATGATGAGATTCAGGTTATTCACTTTTGGCAAGAATGCTACATAAAATGATGTTGCATCTTCAGGGCAATACATTAGAAGACCGAAGGATTTTAACTGGGGAAATAATATAATTCTACTCATTCATTCATCCATGCATTCATTTAAGAAAGATTATCCTGGAAATAAAGGAAGAGAAGAAAATCAAAGTTAGTTGACTAATAAAAAGGCTGTTGCAATAACCTTTCCTTCCAAAATAAGGAAGGGGTCTGGTGAAGAAGGAATAGATGTAGATATGAAGAAGGTGTATCTGACAGATCTTGTGATCAAGTAGATGTCATGAGTACACCAGACGGGAAAATCCAAATTAACTAGGCATCTTGTAATAGATAAAAAAGTATATTAACCAAAAATATTTTATACCCTCTCAAAAAAATAAAAAAACCCTTTAGAAACACATCCTTGAATTTAAATTATAAAATAAATAGTT